ACTCCTAGTTGGATAGACTACAATCAAGTTAGCCACGACCTTATTGAATGGGGACGTAGGTTCTAGGGGCCTATTGTTCTTTATGCTCCTTTGTGATTTTATCACCAAAATGCATATGATCCTGCTGAAGTGTACTTTCTACTCTTCTGTGCCTAATATCACATTCCATTGTTCTACCCACTTTTATATTCATACTCGTAGAGATCGACAGCATGGAGAAAGGTCCTTTGGCCAATTATGTCCATGCCAGGCAAAAACAACCATCTGACTATTTTAGTTCCATTTTCCAGTAATTGACCCATAGCCTTATCTGCCTTGGCATCGCAAGTTCACATCTAAATATTTCTTAAAAGTTATGAAGGTTTCTCCCTCGACTGACCTTACAGGCAGTAAGTTCCACTACCCTCTCCGTGAACAAAGGTTTTCCTCTAAACCTTCTTCCTGTCACCTTAAATCTATGCTCCCCGATATTTGATCTGTTTTCCCGTGTGTGAGGCAGATATGTTGTGTGGTAAGAACATTGTCAGTGCTTTTGGATAATGTTTGTTGCTGCTTCAAATCTGTTCTATCCCAAGTTTTCCTTATGAAAAATTAGACCCACACTGTGGGACTCCAGTGCTGAAGTTTCTTTTTATTATTCATTAATGGGATAAGGATGTTGCTGGCTAGGCAGCATTTATTGTCCATCCCTAATTGCCCAGAGGGCAGTAGAGAGTCAACCATATTGCTGTGGGTCTGGAGTCACATGTAGGCCAGACCAGGTAAGGATGGCAGTTTCCTTCCCTAAAGGACATCAGTGAACCAGATGGGTTTTTCCAACAATCAACAATGGATTCATGGTCATCACTAGATTCTTAATTCCAGATATTTTATTGAATTCAAATTCCATCATCTGCCGTGGCAGGATTTGAACCCGGGTCCCCAGAGTGTTATCTAGGTCTCTGGATTTACAGTCCAGCAATGATACCACTAGGCCATTGCCTCCCCTTATTTAACTTGACTGGTCATCAGACATTTTTCTTTCAGTTTGCCAGTTTCATTTCAGTAACTATACATGCACATGAAAAAGAATAAAAACACTTGAAAGGAAAACATAATAGAATATTCGTTAAACAATTTTTACACTAGAATCAAATTCCATCACTAAGAATTACAGACCAATAAATTTACGGATGTGCAGGATCTCCTGAGGATGTGATGGTAATGTTGCACCATGATACTAATCATGGAATAATGTGTAGCACAATCGTGTGTGTAATGTATCATTAACATTTATTTCACCCAATTAATCTATGTCACACAATTGATATGACCTGTATAATCTTGAAATTCAACCTCTTTTAATTGCGGTATTAATGTAGCAGAGCGCAGATTCAATTGGGGTCATTAAGCTTCCAAAGTTTCTTGTATAGTGTATTGATACAAAAACACCTCAAAGTCTGAATTGAAGCTGTTATGCTTTTTCTGAAGCCGTTATGCTTTTTCTGAAGCTCAGTGGCAAGTGAAACAAAAGAGAAGGAAACAGCCAACACAGTTTAGATTAACTTTTAAAATAGAACATTAAAGCGTAGGCAAGTAAATGAGGACTTTAATACCAAATTGAAACACACATGGAAGATGAACATCATTTAAGATTCATTGGGAGTGTGTGTCTGTGTCTGTGTGTGTTGGGGTTGTGGTCTGGAAGATCCAAGTTACAATTATATTGGCTATGTTTTAAAAAAAAGAGTGCTGAGTATTTATTTGAATTGAATCGTCCTTAACTCTGGTATTTCCCAAAAGTTATTTTTTAATGAAAAAATAGTTATTGTTTTAAACTTTTGCATATTTTAGCTATTACAGCTTGTGTGAAGATAAAATGGAGCTCAATTTGATGTATTTAATATAAATTCCCAAGGCTTAAATTGTGGTTTTTTTATTGCTTTTAATCAGTAGTGTTATATCTGAATGACTGGAGGATGGGTATACGAAAACATTCTCCAAGCTTCATTTGAAATATAAAATTTGTGTAGCATAAGCAGTAAACTTGTATTGTGTTCGGTAACTAACTGCAGCATGCTGGGATTTTAGTCCATGAGAGGTTATAGTCTTAACAGGAAGTTTTAAATTGATAAAATTATGGACATGTAGCTGTTGGGCTGCATTCAAATAAAAGTTTGTGCAGCTTTTGTTTTCTCCAGCAATGTTTTAATATAAGATGAATAGCAAATGAAATAGTAAGGCACAAACATCGCAAGCACAAATACAATTATTGATTTGTATGCAGTATCAGTTATGTTTACAACTAGCTGTTGGATTTCACTTTGAGTTGAACGGTGTGCGATGGGTAGAGAATTTTGGTGTCAGCTATAAATCTTTATTTTAATTATCTAAATGTGGAAAACTAACAGTCATTGTAAATGTTGATTACCCCACAGCACGAAATTATAATGTAGTTGACATCTGTGGGTTCCTATCTAGTTGAACAGATAGCATATTCATTTCATATAAATATTTTTCACTGATGAAACACATTACGAATTGATGGTTTTTAATTGACCATTATTTGCACTGTGATTTCCTTCATTGTCCAAATGGTACTTTAAATGAATTTGTTGTTGAGCTGAATGATTTGTCTTTGTTTGCCAGCGTTATTTTATCTGGAGAAATAATACTTTTTGTGTTGTTGGTCAAGCTTTAATGGTACTGGAGTTAGGAATTGAATATTGTGCTCCAGTTCAGCAGTATTTTTGACTCGAGGGAGAAATGCAACGAATGTTATGTTTATGCTAAATTAGAAAGATAGGTTCAGTATCATTTGAGTTAATGAGTTGTATTGTGTTCATTTGCATCTAAGGAGAAAGCTGGAATGAAAATATTCAGTAAAAAGAGTTCAAACTGGTGGACTATTTTTACTGCTGCTTGTGTTATTTTGAAGAAGTTTGTTCTGTCACTTACGGCCTAAGCCATGGTTTGAGGGTGTTTTTTCTTTTTCTAAGGCTTTCTTAATTCTAGGATATCATGAGAGAGCTTGTGCCACATACAGCAAGCTAAATACAGCAACAAGAATGACCTCTGACTTCACTGCTTTACCATACATTATGTAATGAGAATAAATGTATACTCGGCTCAAATAAGTGAGGCTTTGGAAATTATTTTTGAAGATGGGAAAAGAAAACATGTAAGTGTAATACCTTGAGGGAACATCTGCATCCTTTTTCTTTTGGAAAAATAATAAATTCTGTGCCCATCTTAGTGATCCTGGGGCAAATTATTTTTATTTGAACGTCAAGTGGATTAATTGAGCTAACAGCAGGGTAAAATTCCCTTTATTGTTCCCAACACATTTTTGTCTTAGTTCCCAGCCCCAGGAGGGCTCTAATACGGCATTTCTCTTTTCCTTTTCATTTCCTCCATTAGCTGGTCTTTTCCTAAGCGTTGCTGACAGACATATGCCAGATTATGAGCTATTGTGCAATGTCCCTTCAATGTTAATTTTCAGCTGCGTGAAGTCACAGCTGTGTAGGAACTTGTAAGGTGTCATTACGTGTTTTTTTTTCCCTTTTGATGAATGTTGTTTATACCCAGGCTTGATTCCTTCTTCAATAAGCCTACATCTTTATTCTGTGTTTCTTCTTTCATCTTCTGAGGGGTCCATCAAGGCAAACAGCACAACTACATTTTGAAGAGTAACCACAAGTACACCATCCTGTTCCTGCTGATTTTCCTGCCCACTGCATCTACTAGGGATAATCTGGACGACAGCCTCCCTGTTCAACTCCCCTTTCCATTCCTGTCTCTGTAGATTGCCAAAGTGTAAGCTTTAACTGTCCCTTTCCACTCCTCGCTTCAGAAAACTGATTCACTTATGAACATGCTCCTTGCCATTCATTAACTTGCTGTGGCTGGTAACTGCAACAATATAACCTTATTGGAAATATGTCTTAGGGGCTGATGACACATTCTCCATAAATGAAGCCCCATCCCTGCTGCTCTTTCCACTGAGCCTGCGTGGTGGAGATGTGGCTTGATCACCAAATTACGCCACACTTTGGTCTAGACCGTTACTTCTCATGAAGTTTTGCCTCCTTTGAACATCTTGTCTTATTCCACTTTGTGCCTTTCCTCTGAAGTCACCATTCTCTACTCCCACCAAATTTCTACCAAATTTTCAGTCTTCTAATTCTAGTTGATTGAATAATAGTCTGCTGCCAAGCCCCTAAACTCGGGAATTCCGTCCCTAAATATTCCCACCTCTCCACTACTTTTTTCACTTTTAGGGCACCACTTCTTGAAATTGAGATGAAAATTTTGATTTTAACAATGTATTCTAATATTGTAGCATGTGGTTAGTGTCAATTTCCCATTAAAGGCTCCTGTGAAGCACCTTATGATGTTTATTATGCTAAAGACTATCTAAATTAAGTTGTTGTGGCCCTAGAGGTATAAAGGTAATACATTTACTTACAGGACAATCCAATCCTATGTATTCCTCTGTGTAGTGCTCTTGCTTTTTCATATTTTCAATTTAAATAAAAAAAATTACGTGGACATGTTCTGCTGCTTGGAGGGAGAAAAGTGCCGTATGTTTTACACAAGATGTTTGGTCCTAGTTAAAAACAAATTTGTTTCAAAAAATCTCAAATATTTTGTAGGTTAATGCATTTATTTATTTTAAAAAAAATCATTAAATGCAGAGTATAAAATGTTTTTAGTACCGGAAGCAGAATGAGACAAATGCCAGTTGCTTTCTCGTCAGAGCATCTCTGTTGATAGGCAATCAGATTTGTATTGAATATCCCTTGGAAAGCTGTTGTGATAATTAAACATGTATGGACCTACAGAATGTAATGCGTATTCCACTTAATTTGATACATGGCTATTTAGCTGAGTAATTGATACAACTCTTCCTGAAATTATTGATTTGTTTCTGTCCTGTGACAGACAGAAGATATGTTAGGAGATGTATTATACATCCACTTTATCCAGAAATAACTAAATCTCAATCGTTTATCCCACAGAGACTGTGAAGACAAGGTTCCAAGCAAATGGCATTTTGACTGCAGACAGCCAAGCTTTTAAACCTCACCTGACCTTTATGAAACTATCAAGGGCACCAAAACTACGTCACCAGGTCAGATCACATTTCCAATCAATCACTAGTAGGTATATAAGTAGAACCAATACAAAAAGCAGTCACTGGAGTCACTCATCTCTTAATGCTGCTGCTATACAGAACATTTAACGCTGTCCTTAATAGATGTGTATTGGTTCATAATCTTTTGTCGCATGAGGTATGTCCTTTTATTTCTGTGTCTTACAAAAATGCAAAAAGAATTGAGATGGATGAAAGAATGATATTGCTGAAGATGGGAACTTGTTTAGCTGGAATGTTCACCTTTAGAGCATGCTAAATTGATTGACATTATGAGAACAGTTTATTTTTTTTTCATCTCTGAGGGATCTCAGCAATGTAGATTTTGTAACGAAAAGTATTTTTAACATCATCAATATTGAGCATTTTCAGGCCGTGTGTATAGTATAGTACCCTAATTTCAAGTACAGGGAAACATTTGTTCTGGAAACTACATATCTATTACTCATGCTACCTACGTGTTTGACCAATCTGAGTGCCTGGTAATTCATGCTAATGCGGTGGGAGCTGAATTTCTGTCTTCTGCACTTGTTTTACACTGAACACTTATAGCATACAAATAAAGGAGCTTTTCACTTCAATCATCAGGACAGAAGCAAATCCAACCTCTAACCCACTGCACTATCCAGTTCCTAAATTTGAGATCTTAATTCTTTTGCGTTCTGTTAAATTTCAATCAGTGGTCTAAACGGAACAAGCATTTCTAACACATTGAAGTACAAACCTTGAAAACCCTCTTTATGCATGGAATAATAGCACAGTACAATAGCACTAACTAAACCAGGAGAAGTGAGTTATTTTGATGCTCACATTGTGAGAAATTGTGCTAATCAAGCTCTACGCTTGTTATGTGAAAAGCATGCCTGTATGCACAAAGTGTAATCTGTACTGGAGTTGGTGGTGCTAGGCTGTTTCAATGATACAATAATGACATAATTGTATATAAAATATGAGCAAACACGATCAATGCGCAGTTATTGTATAGCTAGCTTTAAAAATTCGGCTAGTTGACTTTCAACATGTCACTCATTCAGTCCCTCTTGAAAAAGATATGTCTTGGTACTGTATAACAGAGGTATAACATACAACAGAGATAGTAGGAACTGCCGATGCTGGAGAATCTGAGACAACAAGGTGTA